AAAACAGGCTATGATTCGAAAAAAAAATGACGGAATTGATTGATTTTTTTCACAACACATTTTTCCAAAAAAAAAAAAAAAAAAATTATAATTAGCCGATCGATTGGTTCGACAACAAGAAACTATACATTCGGGTTCATCATGGAGAGGGGATTGAATTCTTTTTTTGGTTAGTCAATTACACTGTTCACACATTTTACCTGAAATCAAAACAAAAAAAATTCATAATGGTATGTGTGATAGGTGCAGTTCATTGCTAAAATTAGTGATCTTTAAATAACGGTTGGGGGAATGGGGGGAAAAATAAGGACTCAGAAACAATAATAATGTTGATGAACCTCAAACACCTTCTTCTGGCTCTCATTTTGAAATCGTCGATTATCATCACCTGCTCAACACGGTGTTTTTCTTGTTAACATTTTGTTGTTGTTGTTGTTTTTGGTTAACAATTTTGTTAATTTAAAATTCAACAACAACAACGGCAGAAGAAAAATAAATCAATTTTTTTCCACCTTATTATCATTCTAATGATTTTTTTTTAACTTTGGCAATTTTTTTGCATTTGAAATTTCTTTGAAAACTATTTCCACCTATTCCGTTTCCTATTTTGTTTTTTTTCTCGAATTAATAAAATCGAATGTTAATCAAATCAAATATGAGTAAGACAAATAATGAGTGGGCAACAGGTAATAAAGGTGTGTTTATAATTTTTTCGTTTACGTAGGTGTTTTTTTTCTCTAAAACAAATAATAAACTTATCTAGTAAATGTGACAAATCAATGATGATGATCAAGATCAGGTAAGTTAGTTTGAAAATAGAGCAACAACTATGATCTGATTGATGATGATGATGTTTTTTTTTGTTGCAGAAAATTAATTAACAATGACCTTTTTCATTTAATGAAACTACCTCTGTTGGATACAATATGATCATGCAATGTTGGTGATATGGGTGCCAAAGAAAAAAACCAATTTTCATTTCAATTTCCATCAGCAACATCAACAGTAGCATCAATTAATTGAATTATAATTTACAATCAACCAAAACGAAAAAAAAACATTCATATTCAATTCATTCGATTGATTTTTGTTAATGCAAATGTGTATATTTTGCAATTATTTCATTTCAGGTAAAAATTCATTAATTCATTTCAATAGATGAGGATGATGATAATATTCATCAATCTTGTTTTTTCTTTTTTTTTTGCAAATCTTATCTATTCATATAAATCTTCTTTTTTCTTTTCGTTTCACATTCAATTTTATTCTTGTTTTAGTTGATGTCTTACAGATCATCCATAAGATGCAAGGAATTAATTGATTAGTTGGGATTTAGTTGATTTTTTTCTGGAAAATAAAAAATCCACATACATCACCTTGTTGATCATCTCCCAATGTCTGTATTTATCATTAACCATGAAAATGGTGAAAAAAAAGGTAAAAAAACTTTTTCTGAATTTTATGAAAACTATCATCATCATCATCATTCTCGAGAAAAAACTATCTAAAGTTATTTAATCATTTGACAGCTCAATATATATTTTTTTTCTGGTGAAAATCTATCAATTATTATTACATCCATTTATTGATTATTGATCTATGAATGATTTTTTTTAAAGGTTGTCAAGATCACGAAGAAGAAGAAGATGAAGAAAAAAAACCAATCATTATCAATGACAGTTCAATATATAACCAAATAATAATAAATTGCCATTCGCCAATGTTTATAATCACACACATTGATCATCAATTGACCATGACCATTTGACGTTATTATTTATATGGTGTGTTTGTAATTAATTTCAATATCAATCTGATAATGATTACTGTCTGTATGTCTGTCTCTTCACAGTTGAAAAATCAGTTTTTTTGACACATTTTTGACAAATTAATAGCATAGTTAGTGATAAAGAAAGACTACCATCATCTTTTTGGATTTTGTTTTATTGACCAGAAATGACCAAACACATGTTTTTTTTGTTTTCAGAAAATATCATTGATCTTTGATGATGATGATGATCGATCAATCACCATCTTTACCGAACCCATCCAATTTCCAAATTTTATTTAGAGAAAGAATCACATGATTATAGTGATCATAATAATTATTCTTATAACCATGGATTTTTTAGTAAAAGAGAGAGAGAGAGAGAAAATGAAAAAATCAAAATCAAAATTGATCGATCGTGTTACAACCTGATCAATTTATTATTTCATCTCTTAGCTTTCTTCTATTTTACAATTCATTTTTCAAAAAAAAAAAAAAAATTCTCGAAATGAAGAATTGTCTTTCATTTCGTCTTTTGACCATGAATGTATTGTTTACCTTTTTTTTTACTTTCTTGAGTGGCCGGTGTGTGTTAATTTAAAAATTAAATATTGACTTTTTCGCTCTCTTTTTCTCTGTATGTTCTTTTTTTATCTATCACCTTTTTTTTCTTAAAAATTGTTGTCTGAAACTCTATTAACTTTTAACGCTTTTAAGTCAATTGAGATTTTTCTTTTCTTATGTTTGTTTGTTTGGGTTTCAATGAAGATGAACCTTGAGATATTATTATTATTATTAGTGAATTAATTTTCTTTCTTCATTTTTTTGACTATATCAACATGAATGAATGATGAATGATAATAGTGTCTAGAAGTAATGGTAAATTTAAATTTAAAATTTAAATTTTTGTTTATTTAGCTCCTGCGTTGATGTGTTTCTTTTCTAAGTCAAGTTTTGGCGTCTTGATAGCCAATCCTAATATCATGGTTATCAATCGATTTTAAAATGATGTAACTGAATTTCATTTGTGATCGAAAAAAAACGTAAACACAAACCGTTTCATTTTGCAGCATCATATTTTCCATATAAAATTTATTTATTCTGAAATTCTCAGGTAAAAAAAACAGGATAACAAACAAATCAAGTCATAAATACACCTACACACACACACACATACCTATGAAATGTTTTTTTTATAGAGATGTGTGTTAAGTTACACCTATTTTAACTCGTACCGGTCAATTTATTGTTGTTATTATTACTTTTCAACCACATGTTGATCTTGAATTTGATTGATCAAAACACACACAAAATATAATTTGTCCCTGTTAAGTGTGTGTGTGATATTGGCCGATTTTATTTGGGATTACATATTCATCCAAATAGTGATCACGGAACTATGAAATCATCATTCATAAAGTTTCTTATTTATCATCATTTTCATTTTTTCAAATATGAAATTTTGTTTTTTCTCTTTACGAAGGTAAGGTGAAAATTATCATCAATTATGATCATCATCATCATCATCCAAAAACCATTCATTCGATATATTCGAATCGATCGGATCTTTGAATCGAGATATAAATTAAGATGTCAGAATGTATAATTTGTTTTTTTTTGCTGATGTGTGTGTGTGATTGACACATTTTTTTTTGGTTATGGAATTTTTATTTTTTTCAATGTAAACAGGAACCAATTTTGATCCATTCATCACACACATTAAACTATTTGATCAATTCAAAGAATATGGCGGCTACATGCTGATAACATTTTTAGTCCGTTTTACCTTATGACAAATGATCAAGATGATGATGATCTCATTTTTTCATATAGTCTTTTGCAAGAAAACTGTTTGATTTCACGCAACACCTGATTATAGAGATCAAAAGCTGGAAATTACCGAGAAATTTGTTGTTTAAAACGAATGATTTTAAGAAGCTTACACTCTTAGTTAAGAAGACCATAATTCATTTGATTATTTTCTTTTTCTGAAAACAAGCTTGTTACTAATTGTCTAACTATATTATTACAGATGATGATGATGATTGTAGCTCATTTCTTCTTCTTATTATGTGCAATACCTGGCTATTAACCTCGAAATGAAAAAATCTACTAATCTGAATCGTGTGGTCAAGAAAATGAATGTGGACAACGAACTGCATCATCAAAAATTCAATGGAAAATACGTGTAAGGTGTGTGTGTGATTCATTGTCGTCACAAAACGAAAACGAAAAAACGATCAAATTAATGAGCCGTTGGCGTGATATGATCATCATCACTATTATTTGTCAGTTTTTGGTAAATGGTTCGCACACACACAACACGAGCACTTTTCGTTTCTACCGTTAATTGAGCGATTAATTTTTGCTATGTGAACTAAATCGGCTTACGTCAATTTTTTTTTTTTTTTTTTTTTAAAGGGAATTTTGTTTTTTTGGCATTTTTTTTGTT